AGCAATTAAGTAACTTGCATAAAGTCATTTAATTAATAAAAGAGTAACCAATTATTGAATGCTTATGATAGGCACATAACTTAACATTACATCCTTTATTTAATACTATGATGCAAGTATTATATTTTATATTATAATCTTTAATATAACAGGACCTTGATCAAGGTTGTATATACATCTAGTAAGAGGCATTCCTGAGTTTTAAATACAAGTCTGTTATATAAATTATCATAGCAGTTATGTACTTATGGATAGTTTATAAGATTGGCACATAAGATGCAATGTTTATAAAGATATTTTGTTGCTAAGTCTAGAAAGGATATTAGTTTTCTTCCAAAAATTTTTTCTTTACAGCTTATCTTTTTAAAAAGACTTTATTCTAGAAATTCCTTTTGTCCTTTTATTTTCTATTACTTCTTAAAAAGGGGACTTTTAATTCAGCTTATTAATTCATTTCATTTACCCACCTACTATTCAGGAAAGGCCTTAGAAAAATCCAGTTTTTGCTAATGATGTTTACCATTAATATTATCATGGCCCTTTTATCTCTTTATTTCTTTTGATCCTGCTCTTAAAAAATTATCTTCTATTATTATAAAAGCTGGAAATCTCTTACAGATTATAAGCAACTTGATGGGTTAACTTTTTCATATACTGACAATCTCTCACTTTTTTCTTCTTCACATTGTGAGATATGCTTAATCATCCCTAGCTTAGATTTTTCTTGCCACCAATTTATTTTTCAACTCCTAGCAACTGTAAAATTCCATAAAACCCCATTAAATGGTATCAGATTAGCTGTCAATTCCAGAAATCTCCCCACATCCATCCCACAACACTTCTACTTCTCATTCATACTAGATAATGTAAATTTTTTTGCTTGAGACTCTTGTTTTTTTGGTTTTTCCAAGTTTTCTCCCTACCTTCTATTTCATGTGCTGCCTCCTTCATTTCAAGATCTCCACGAGAAATACCCTTTCAACTTTCTCTTAATGCACTTCTTTTTCCTTGATCTTTCTCTCAGAAATCTTTTTTAATCATAAAAGTTTCCCATTTTTTTCTTCACCCTCTATCTCTTTCCCAACTTCTTAAATTGCATTTCTTCTCACTTGCTGAATAGCTTCTTGGATGAAGTTTATTTCCCTCTAAATCAAATTCTCAGTGTTTACTAATGGCCTATCATCCTTCCTGTCACTCAAGATTTAATCTGTAGAATTGTTTTGCAACCTTCCCTCTTACTCACAATAGTCAACAGATCAGTGTGTTCTTAAACGGAGGTCTTAAACTGAAATGGATTAAATAACCTAAATCAAAATCAGGGGAGAGGGTTGTTAAAAATGCAGATTGATGTGCCTCATCCTGGACCAACTAAACAAGATTTCACAGATAGAGTCCAGTAATATGCTTGTTAAATAAACACCCCATTTAAGTCTTAGGCACACTGTTTTGGAAACCAGTGTATTATATCAAATTTCACCTAATTCTAGAGATTCTACCTTTTCAGTGTTTCTCATACATTTCTCTCCTTTCCTATGGCCTCTACCATAGTTTAAGGCTGCTTCATCTCTTAGCTAGACATCTTTAATAGAATTTCCTTGCCTCTAGGATGTTTTCCACTCTAATTCATCCTGCACACAGGAACCTTATTAATCTTATTAAATCACAGCTCTGCTCATTTAATGTGACAAGAATTTATTGAGAGCATACTATATTTCAGGTGCTCTAGGGCAGAAGGTTCTAAGTTGGGCTGATAATCAGAATCATTAAGTGGGAGAAACCTTTTAAAAACAGATTCTCTACCACTCCTTCAGGGCTACTAAATTAGAATCTATAGAGCTAGGGTCGAGAAAAGTTTATTGTTAAAAAGTTCTCCAGGTGACTCTGATACTTTTGAGAAACACTAGACTGGAGCATATAAAGACTGAAGCATTACTGTGTGTTGCAGATTGTGCTGGGTGAGATATGAACATATGCAAATAACCAGTATATAACATATTGATTAATGCTATATTAGAAGTACCAGTGTCACAAGAAAGATTAATTCTAACTGCATAAATACCTTCAGTAACACATCCACCTGGAAGAAATCTTTTCCTCCTCTAATTTCCCAAGTACTTTATCTATAATTCTCTTATGGTCTCATTCATCTTGTACAATAATTATTTTTGTATGTCTCCTTTCCTCTTCACTGGTACTTGAGAACAAAGCCCTGGCCTTAGCACGCCAAATAATATGACAAAAATTTTTTTTCAGCGTTCTAATTTATTTACAGGATAAAGCTGTACCCCCAAAACACTAAATTATGCATGGTTATGCATTTAATAAATTATCTCAAAAATTGGATGCCCTTAAAACTCTTGGATATATGTGGCCAAATTTATGGATTTTAATCTCAGTAAGGCACTTAGTACAGTTCCTTTAACATAGCAGGTACCCAATAAAAAAAATTATGTGTGAACCAGCGGGGTTGAGGGAAAATGTATTTGGATATAAAAACATACTTAACATGTCCAGCATTCAGTATAAGACGTTATAGATTCCAAATGAAATAATGTGCTGGTGGTTTTTACAAACCAGCTCCCTATGAGTCAAAACCAGTCAGCCTGTTTGTTTGAATGGCCCAATATTGGGCTGGTGTGCTAGGGTGTGTGTGTGCATGCGTGTGTGTGTGGTTTTATTTCTTTCTTTCTTTATTTACAAATTTCAATTTGAATATCTTTGGGCAAATATTCTGATTACCACAGGCTCTACCACTCCATGTCATCTCACATCTGATGCACACAATTATGTTATCAATAGGTCTAAAGATGAGCATTCTAAGGATGACAGACAATTGCTCCCAATCATTTCTGCTTTTTGAGTGTTGGCTACTGTTATGGACTGAACAGTGCCCCCCCTAAAATTCATTTGCTGAAGCCCTAACACCCAGTACCTCAGAATCCAACCACATTTGGAGATAAGGTCTTAAGGGGGTAGATAAGTTAAAATGAGGTCTTTAGGATAGGCCCTAATCCACTATGACTGATGTTACTTATAAAGAGAAGAAATTTGGATGCAGATGTGTATGGGCATGGAGGAAGGAACTCATGGAGACAAAGACAAAATATGGCCATCTACAAGCCAAGGAGAGAGGTCTCAAAATGAAATCAACCCAGCTAAAACCTTGATCTTGGACTTACTAGCCTCTAGAATTTTGAAAAAGTAAATTTCTGTTGTTTATGCCACCCAGCCTGTGGTATTCTGCTATGGTAAATCTAGCAAACTAAGACAGCAACCAACTATATTTATTATTAATCTTAACTTAGGCATTTTTACATCAAAATTATGTTCACCATGTTCAAGTCATTCTGCCAGGTACAGTGGTAAGTACAATTCTAAGTAGCTTAGAATCTAGCAGATGAAACAAACTATACGTAAGACACAGTCATCAACATATGTGATAAAAAACATTACCAGGCCAAAAGGAAAAAAGTCAAATACAGAGGATATTTATAATTCTATAATTGTTCTGGAGGGAGAGCGTTGTTGAAAAAAAAATTCAGAATCTGACCTAGGTCTTGAAGGATAAGTTAAGATTCAACCAAGTAGAGGAAAGAGAACACATAGGTAAGAGGAATGGAGTATACTAATTCAAATGTACATCAGCTACTAGAGGGAACATTCCACTGCCGCCCCCCACCCCAAGTATATATAACTGAGATTCAGGTCCCCTATCTCTGTTTTATGAATTCTAAAATTACTATATATTTTTAAATTAATGGCCTAAGTCCTTGTAAAATGTAGGCATTTTCCCCCTGCCAGATAATTAACAGTCTAAATGACTTTGTTTAGTACAATACTGACATCCAAAGGACGGTCTGGTTCATCTCTAAGCCCTCTTGGGCTTCTGCTGAGAGGTGATTTTATTTTCAAATGGTCTCTGAAGGTAATAAGCTGCTCATGGAACACTCTCTTTTGAAATCTGGCCATTTTTTGATCTCTTGCCTATTTATCAAATCTCATCATGTTAGATGGCTCCACAATGCAGGTGGTCTATGTTTTCTTAAGTGCCTTTTCTTCTGAAGAATGTATTACTCAGTTCATTAATGTTTCATACCTAAGTATTCTAATGTATTTAATTTTTTATTTAATGAAATTTCTAACCTTCAGGCTGAGGAAGTTATTTACAATGTTTCATCCAAGCTACTGGAAAAGTGCTCATTAGCAGAGAGTTTTGAAGATGGAATTTTAAGAAATGGGTTGGCTGGAACCTAAACACATAGATCTACACTTTCATAAATGCTTCCCTGCCTTAAGTCTAAAGGAAGATATTCTTCTTGATAAGCAGGTAAGTTCTGCTGAAGTTTTCTTTTAGATTCCTGTGGTTTGTCAAAAGATGTGTTTTAAAGCTGTTAAGTTTTTAAAAAAAATAATTATTTGTATGTAGAAAGCCTTATTTCTCCATCATTTCAACAGTTTATTTTCTTTCATAAACTAGATAGTTATGTGAGAGCATCATCATCAAATAAGATACACGTTGAACCAAAGGCGCCATGTTTAGCAACTGGTTTCAATTACTTTAGATTAAAGTGATTCCCTACAAAAGAAGGAGCCTCAGCTGAATTAGTTTGATTCTTGAAATAGTTTAGGCTTAAAGCCCCTGCCCATTTTACCAACTGCCTTCGGAATCATGGGAGATTAAGAACTCAAGTTAAAGAAGTTTTGAGATTGTTACAGAAAATTTAAAAAATCAGGTCTTTGTTCATTACCTGCTTCAGGTGGAATTTGGAGGTCAGAAAGATCCAGAATTTAACATTTAACGGTAACTCATTGCAACCAATATTTAAAGACTACAAAATGTGTACAATGCAGTAGAACACACAGTAGGAAACCACTGAATATTGAAAGCTCCAACTTTTCACCTTTTTCTTTTTATAGTACCCGCTCCTTGTGTGACAAAGTGGACTCAGAATTTCCATTACCCGGTATATAACGAGGGGGTGATGTTACCACATGCTTACCTTGGGGCAACAACTTGCACTTTATAACTGGACAGGAAAATCATTTGATGAGAGTGAAGGCTAAAGGAAACGGAGGCCGCTGACGTGACTGCGGCACACACCCGCGGTTACTATCGAGGTGACCACCGCAGCCTCAATATGGTCCACCTAACTGGGCCACTTTTCCCGCGGAGTCTCGCCTTCCGGCCGTAAGTCACCACAGCCCGCCCACCCGGAAGCCGTCGTCTTGGCAACGCTCTTTGGTCCCACCCCATCCATCCCTTTGTCCCGCCCACCGCCCTGTACGTCTGTGGCCAGCCGGGCTTCGATTGGTATTTCTGTCCTTCACTCTGGGAGACGTTCCGGGCCGCGAGGCTTTGGAACTCGTATTTGAGTTTTGGCGCGGAGCGCTCGTTAGGTGCCGAATGGAGCTGGGCGTCTTGCTGGAGCCAGCAAACTCCGTGGTGAGCGACCCTGAGGGAGAATGACGAAAAGGGCGGCCCGGCCCGAGGTGCAGGGGCGTTGAGTCAAACAGGCCGCCTCGAGATGGGGGACTGCAGCCAGGCTGCGGCTCTCCCTGAGGCAGGCCCTCTGTTCGCCTCCTCGCAGCCTCTAGGTTCTTTCCTCGCGTCTAAGAGGCCGAGCGCCCGCCGGTCTTCTGTTGGCCCTGGGGAGGGGGCTTCTCTTGACGCTCCCTTCCCTCTTTGAGGAGCAGTGTCTCAGCTTCCTTCCCTCCCCAGTAGAAACCCTCCGACTCTGACGTGCTTACACCTCCCCCGAGCACACTTTACCCCTTCCCCCGACTCCTTCCAGCGCTGACAGAAACTTTCTACCAGCCCTTGACAGTGTGGAAAAATGTCTCCTGAGCAACCTGGGGAGCGTCCCACACCTCACAAACTGAGTCCATAACGTTCCTTATCTAGAAGGAGGGTGCTGTTGTCCTCTTCTTCCCATGTGGGACTAGTGAAGTTCCGGTGGAAAGCTGCAGGTGCAAGCGCTGGATAAAGCGCTACAGAAATGTCAGCTCTGGTCTCAGTTGCTGACCCAGAATGATGATGGATCTTGTCGAAAACATCATTTTGTACTCAGTTGGACCCTTTCCCCATGTACATTTCCTATTGGCATTATGAATACTGTCCAGACCTTACAACAAAGCCAGTAGGTCTTTTGGAGTACAAACTCTGACGCTTGATCTGAAATATCAAAGCCATCACTGATTGAAAAACCTCTTCATTAACCTTTAGCTTCTATGTCTGTTATGATCTGACTCCTCCCATCCTACCCCGACAGCCCCTGTCTATGACTGAAAATGCCGTTTTCTTTCCAATAGAATCCTCTATTTTCTTCTGTATAGAATATAACACACACAAAAATTTTATATCAGTTTCAGGGAGTTTTAAAGTCTGCCCTGAAATATGGATATCCATAGGACCTCAGTCCAGTTCTAGAAGTTTATTTATATTTTTTAAAAAGAAGAAATAGTTAAACAGCCAAAGCAACTGTTTTACTTCTAAAAATGACCATCATTTAATTTGTGAGTTGTTTTAAGATTTACAGTTCTAAAGGAAGTGGGGATTGAGAAGGCTGAAGCAGTTGTATTAGTAGCACAACTTTCAAATGAGCACTGGGGTAAGAATTTTAGAGAAGTCACTGAAATGCTTTCTAAAGTTATAGAGAGGTCATTGACAGATGAAGTTACTGGCACACAGGCATACAAGAAGTAAATTGACAAGATACTGCATCTTTTTGGATTAACAAAAAGTTGGAAAATTCTTGATCAACATAATTTATATGCATTAATATTTGAATGTTTCATATTAGAATAATTTTTATTGTGAAATTCCACTACTATGTTCTGAATATAATTTACATTATCAAGCATTATTTTTTTCACACTAGAAATTTAGTTCACCTGAAACTTAGTCTTGTGTATGATGTGAGAAATGGCTTTAACTAAACTTCTTTCGTTGTTCTGTTGCTCTTGAGGAAACCGTGGCTGATGGGCCAAATCTGGCCCACCATCTGTTTTGGTAAATGAAATTCCTTTGGAACACAGGCATATGCATTTGTTTACCTGTTGTCTGGGTGCTTTTGTGCTACAATGTCAGAGTTGAGTAGTTGTGACAGAGACTATATGGGCTTCAAAGCCTATTACTGTCTAGCTCTTAACAAAAAAAGTTTGCCAGCCCTTAGAATAGGACACCCTTCTTTCACTGAATAGATAATGTCATGCACTCCTGTAGTTCCCATGTATGTGTTTGCCTTTGTTTCTGAGCTTTTCTAGTCTATTTAATTTGTCTAGCCCTGCACATATAACAGTGTTTTAATTACTTTAGCTCTAAAATAAGACAATATTCAATAGGGTAAACAGCTTCCCTTACCCCCATACCAAGTTGTTCTTTTCCCTTGTTTATTCTTGGCCCTTAGATCTTCCATATTAATTTTTATGATCAATTTATTAACTACCATGAGAAATCTTTTCAGGACTTTGATTGTAATTGCTTTGAATATACACATTAATTTCTGAAGAATAGTTATCTTTGCAATATTTAGTCTTTCCATCCATGAACATAGTATATATTCTGATTGTTTTCATGTCTTAATATGATCTTAAAATGGTTTTTTTTTTTTAGAGTGTTCATAAGGGAGATTGGTCTTGGTTTTGCTTTCTTGTGATTGGTTTTAGATTAGAACAATGCTGTCTGACTTCTTTAAATGATCTCAGACATGTTGTATTCTTCTCTATTTCTTGAAAGATTTTGTGTAGGATTGGTAGTTTGTTTGTTTGTTTTAATACTTGATAGAAAACACCAGTGCCTCCATCCAGGCATGGCACTTTGTTAGGAGTTTTTAATGGAATTAGGAAAATGATAATAAATTGTTTGCCTACATCTTACCATTTCTCGCACTCTACTTGTAGATTCAAGTTTTCATCAGGTTTCTTCCATCTGAAGAACTTCCTTTAACATTGCTTACTATACAGCTTGTTGGTAATGAGTTCTCTTAGGTTTTTTTTTTAACTTGAAAATGTTTTTAGTTAACTTTCATTTTTGAAAGGTTTATTTTTAAACTGGATATGTAGTTTTGTTTTTTAGCACTTTAAAATTCTTTTTTCTTCTGGCTTTTGTTGTTTTTAGTTAGGTATTTGGAGTCATTCTTAGCTTTGTTCTCCTGTATGCAGTGTGTGTGTTTTGTTTTGGTTTTTTTTTCCTGGCTGCTTTTTTTTTTTTCCAAGTCAGTTTTATTTAGGCTTAATTTACATATGGTCAAATTTTCTTTTTAGGAATATAGTTCTATGAGTTTTGATAAATGTAAATATGTATGAACTACTACCATAATCAAGATATGGAGTATTTCAGTAATTCTATAAAGTTCCTTCATGCTCTTTTATCATCAATTCTCAGACCCTATACCTATCCCCTAGCAGCCACTGATCTGATGTCTGCCACTATAGGTTTGCATTTTGAGAACATCATGTTAACGGAATTCTATAGTATACAACCTTTTATGTCTGGTTTCTTTCACTTAGCATAATAATTTAAGATTCATCCATTTGGTTGCATGCATGAATACTTACTCCTTTTTGTTTGTGAGTTGTATTCTATTATACGTATGCATCATAATTTATCTGTTAGCTAGTTAATGGACATTTGGGTTGTTTCTAGGTTTTGGCTATTAGCAGTAAAGCTGCTGTAACCATTTGCCTTAACAGCTTTGTATGTCATAGCTTTTTTTCCCTGCTTTATTTATTTATTTATTTATTTATTTATTTATTTATTTATTTAAATTGAAGTATAGTCAGTTACAATTTGTCAATTTCTGGTATACAACATAATGTACAGTCATATATATATATACACATACATACATATATTTGTTTTCATATTCTTTTTCATTAAAGGTTATTATAAGATATTGAATATAGTTCCCTGTGCTATACAGAGGAAATTTGTTTTTTATCTATTTTTATATATAGTGGTTAACATTTGAAGAATAGATTTTTATTTTTGCTGGGTGTCTACCTAGGAGTGAAACTGCTAGGTCATATGATAAGTGTATGTATGTTTAACTTCCTAAAATACTGCCAAACTTTTTTCCAAGGTGGCTATACCATTTGTTTTCCTATCAGAAGCATATGACAGTTCTAGTTATTCTACATTCACATTAGCTCTTGGTGGTGTTAGTAGTTTAAAATTCATTCCATTCAGTGTGTATTGATGTTTCATTATAACTTTAATTGCATTTCTATGATGACCAGTGATGTAGAGCAACTTTTATGTATTTATTTACTCTAGGTAACCTTCTTCGTTTTTTGAAATGTTGCAGCAAAGTGTGTTACAGCTCAGTGTTATAGCTTAGTTGTGACAGCAACCTGTATCCAGGCGAGAGAACAAGCAGCACTCAGAGGGTTGGAGAACTCAGGTTTATTATGCCAGCAGGCCCAAAGGAGTTAACATTCCAATCTCTGGACCCCGTCTGTAGGTTTACACAGGCTTTTA